TATACCCTGACAGGACATGAAATTAAAAAGATCTGTATGTAGTGGTTCATTAGGATTGATGGCCAGGTCTGAGCTGATATAACCTATCCTGCTGGTTTTATGGACATCATCAGCATTGACAAAACCACAGAAAATTCCTGTCTGGTCTATGACACCAAGGGTCGATTTGCTGTTCATCATATTACACCTGAGGAGGCAAAGTACAAGTTGTGCAAAGTAAGAAAGATCTTTGTGGGCACAAAAGGAATCCCCCATTTGGTGACCCATGATGCTTCCACAGTATGCTACATTGATCCCCTCATCAGGTGAATGGTACCATTGAGAATGAATTGGAGACTGGGAAGATTACTGATTTCATCAAGTTTGACATTGGTAACCTGTGTATGGTGACTGGAGGTGCCAACTTGGGAAGAATTGGTGTGATCACTAACAGAGAAAGATCCTGGCTCTTTTGATGTGGTTCATGTCAAAGATGCCAATGGCAACAGCTTTTCCATCCAACTTTCCAACATTTTCGTTATTGGAAAGGTAACAAACCATGGATTTCTCTTCCCTGAGGAAAAGGTATCCGCCTTGCCATTGCTGAAGAGAAAGACAAGAGACTGGCTGCCAAGCAAACCAGTGAGTGAAATGTTTTCTAGGTGATTTGAATGAACATTATCTTTACATAATTAAAGATACTAAACACACACACACAGAGAGAAAGATAAGCATCTGTATATCTATCAACTTTCCACTAGGCATAGCTTTGGAGTCCTGGTGTGGCACTGTAGAATAAGCATTGAACTGCAAGGTCAGTTTGAAATGGTACAAATCCACGAGCCACTCTTCAGAAACCCTACGTAGGGTCACTATGAGTCAGAACCAACTCAACAGCACTTGACTTCTTTGACCAGTGGTCATTTATGAGCATGTTATTTAATTTCCATTTATTTTCTTAATTTACTATATTGTGAAATTACTGTATTATCTGTGTCACTGTGAGTTAATGTGCCAGACTGCAAAGCTGTTTGAACTGCAAGATCAGCAGTTCAAACTCACCAGCTGCTCCTTGCAAACCCTATACAGGGTCGCTATGGGTCGGTACCAACTCAATGGCACATAAAAACAACAACAACATATGGTCTTCAGTGCCTTTACTAACTAAAATGTAGGAGGTTTGCACCCACTTAAAAGGTGCCTTAAGAAAAAAGTCTGGTGATCAGCATCTGAAAGTTCACAAGCTTGAAACCCCTTCTGTGCAGTATGTGCAGTTGCCATAAGTCAGAATCAATTTGACTGGCAACTGGTTAGCACATGATCTATCCTGTAGAAAGTCCCATGTGTGCTTCAGAAGAACGTGGACCCCACTGGTATTGGATGGAATATTTATAACTGTCTATTGGGTTTAGTTAGTTTATCATGTTGCTCCAGTAGTTTATTTTGTGTTTAATCATCTTTCTAATTGTTCTTGCACATCAAGGTCAAAGACCACAGGCTTCAGTATAGATTATATCTGACCATGAAGAAAATGAAAAGTCTCACTACTCACACCTGACACTCTAAACATCATCATGACACAGAGAGAAGAAACTGCATCTGTCATGGATTTCATTCTACTTGCATCAATAACGAAGCCAGTGGAAGCAGCAGTTAAGAAATCAAATGACTGATTGCAATGGACAAACAAAGCAAAACATCTACTTAAAATTCCAAAAGACAAGGAAGTCACCCCGATGACTGACGTGTACCTGACCCAAGTCATGGTCTTTCTAGTCACTTCTTATGTAAGTAAAAGCTGAACAATAGAAAAATGAGCAGATCAAGCCCACCAGCCATTCCTTGGAAACCCTATACATGGTCGCTATGAGTCAGAACTGACTTGACAACACACGTCAACAACAAATATAGTGAAGTCTCAAAACTCTTGGCAATAATTAATGCTGTTAGAAATACACATATTCCACTGGGAGAATAACAGGGAAGAAAAATATATCAACACTTAAGTATAATGACTTCACAGAATTCTACATTCTTTGAGGGGAAAGTCAGAAAAATGTGAATAGATAAAATTTAGAACATTTCAAATGAGAGCTTTTATTTTATTAATATGTAAGTAGAACATGTATACATTTTCAAAAATTGTGGCAGTATATATGGGCATAAGATGTGAATTAAAGTTGCCCCCAATCCATCCCAAGAGACTTTTGTTCGTATCTGTTCTTTATTTTGATTGGCAGTAGTTAAGTCTAACTCCTATGCTTTCACCTCTAGTTCTTAGTTTATCATCGTTAAGCTGTGCCTTTTAACTTCTGCCATGAAAGTGGGTGAATTATTTCAGAGACGCTGTCACTATGCACCGTACTTCTTGGCTTCCTACTATGTAAGATGAGGTAGTATCCAAAAGTCAAAACTCAACAGAACTGAAGAATAATTTTAAAAAGCATTTTTACCTTGTTCATAAAGTAGTTTCATATTCAAATCTTTGCAGGCAACCAGATTGTTGAGCAATGCGATCACACTTTGCATGGTGTTACCCAGAACGCTCTCCTGATGCTCCTGCAATGGATAATAATTTCCACTGTGATTACACAAAATTACAATCAGATCGCCTCAAGAATAATTTAGATCATGATCAAGAAAATACCGCAATTGTTCACCATGGGGTCATTCATCATACAAATTTAAGTAAGTACCTTTCTGCACTAGAATGAGAGAGACAAAGGCTCTGCTGTGGCAGAGATGAAAATACTCAGAAGCGCAGAGCTGCAGCAGGCAGGTCTGGCTTGTGAGCAGAGGGGCAGCCACATAGCCCTCTATGCTTTAGAAGTGACCAAAAATCAAGTACAGAGAATTTAGGATCACAGAAAGTGTCACTATAAATCGGACTGACTCGATGGCACTGAAGATTAACAGCAACCACTTGAAATCAAGATTTTGAAACTACAAAAGAAAATGACTTAAAGCAGGAAATAGTTCCGTCTCTGGGGATGATTTTTTCATTTAGCCCTGTGCACACACCATGTGTGAGTTATGCATCACTGAATCACTGTCTCAGGACAATAAGCTCCATTTGGGACATAAAATGGGAAGCTTGGCACGCGGGGGGTGGGGGTTGGGGGGTATGGCAGTAGGGGAATTTTCTTCAACACTCAAGATCATGTAGCAGGGAGTAACTAAGTCCTGGTGTGGCACTGTGAGTTAATGTGCTGCAATGCAAAGATGGTTTGAACCACAATTTCAGCAGTTCAAGCTCACCAGCTGCTCCTCAGAAACCCTATACAGGGTCAGTACTTCACCACCATGAAGAACGGAAGGAATCGTGGAATAGTACTATAGGAGAAGCACTGGACTGTAAAACCATACCTTTTGGGGTTTTTTGTTAAGTACCCTCAAGTCTATTCCGACTCATAGTGACCCCTGACAGCAGGGGTGGGGAACTTCCCGCCCATGAGCTATGTAAGGCCCACATAATCATTTGGTCTGGTCCTGCAAAGGGAACCACATTCCTAGCATCACACTGCTGTGGTTGCTGTTGTGAGAAATAACTCTTGTGGGCGTGGTCCATGTTCAGTAATATAAAGGCTCATGAGATTTCTAGACATAGACTGTTGATTTACATCCATGGATATGTAAGCAGGATGAACAGAGGAAGGGAGGACTAGGAACTTTATATAAGAATAGTCATTAAAACAGACCATGGGTGAGCCAGTTTGGCTTCTCTGAAGGAAGGGAAGCCAAGAGGTGCCTGCAGGTTCGTGAATGGAGGGAGACTTGAAACTGGAGTAGGGGCTTTTTTGAGACAGGGGAATAAAATTTTTTTTCAGGCAGGCCAGTTATGTGGTGCACTGGCCCATGTCTACTTGGTTCGACACCCAATTTTATAAAATTGATTAATGAAAACCTCACTCTTGCTAAAATAAGTATAGATTGGATTACTTGAGCATTTGTTGGTATTGACAGCATTTCTCACACTGTTAAGTGCCGTCAAGTCCTAGTAACCCTGGATAGGGTTTTGAAAGAATAGCTGGTACATTTGACCCGCTGACCTTGTGGTTCAAACTGACCTTACAGTCCAGTGCTTTACCCCACAGTGCCATCCCAGGACTCCAACTATCACATTTGTTGTTGTTGTCAACTGCTGTTGAGTTGGCTCCAACACACAGCAACCCTGTAAAGGGTTTCTGGGGAGCAGTTGGTGAATGTGAACTGCCAAACCTGCAGTTCAAACCGACTTTACAGTCCAGCGAATTGACCCACAGTGCCACACGGGGACTTCAGCCATTCCATTAGGGGTGAGTTAATTAAATGTTTGACCAAATATAGCAGGTTAATTTTTGAATTGATAACTTTGTATGGCCTGAGAGTCATTTAATAAATTTTGGCAGAAAAAAAAAAGGTTCCCACATCTCTACTGTACAACATGGTTTCCGAGAAGCCCTTGGTGGGTTTGAACTGTTGACCTTGTGGTTTGCAATCCTGTGCTTAACACCTACAACACCACACCAGAAAGCTGTTGGTAAGCATCGTCAAGTCAGTTCCAACCCATAGCGGACCCTGTATGTAGGATGGCCAAAGAATGGCTGCTGAGCTTGAACTGCCGGCCTTTTGGTTCAAACTGACTTTGCAGTCCAGCACCTTAACCTGCAATGCCAGACCAGAAAACAGGTGGGTTCAAATCCACCAGCCATTCCTTGGAAATCATATAAAGAGTCATTATGAGTCACAACAATGCAGTGACAGAAAACTGCCAAAAATTCAAGCCAGATTCTGAAAAGGATATACAACGAGAGATGTCTGTGTTGATGTCAGATGGATCTTGGTTAAAACCAGGGAGCACCAGAAAAGTGTTTACTTGAGCTTTATTGGCTCTGCAAAGGCATTTAACTCTGTAGATCACAATAAACTATGGATAACGTTGGGAAGGTTTACTATTCCAGGACTCTTTAAATGTGCTCATAAGAAACAAAGACAAGGCTGTTGCTAGAATAGAACAAGGGACACTTGACAGCTTAAAATCAGGCAAGGTGTGTTCCACCTTTCAATGTATCCTCTCAATGTATGAATTCAATCTGTATGCTGAGCAAATAATCCAAGAAGTTGAGTTATATGAAGAAGAATGGGGCATCCGGATTGGAGGAAGACTCATTAACAACCTGCGATATGCAGATGATACAACCTTGCTTGGTGAAAGTGAAGAGGACTTGAAACACTTATTGATGAAGAGCAAAGACTTCAGTATGGATTGCACCTCAATGTAAAGAAAACAAAAACCCTCCCAACTGGACCAATAAATAACATCATGATAAATGGAGAAACGATTGAAGTTGTCAAAGACTTCATTTTGCTGGTATCTACAGTCAACTCTCATGGAAGCAACAGTCAAGAAATTAAATGACATGTTGCATTCGACAGATATGCTGCAAATGACCTCTTCAAAGTGTTAAAGTGCAAAGACATCAGTTTGAGGAGCAAGGTGCAGCTGACACAAGCCATGGTACATTCAATAGCCTCATATACATGTCAAAGTTGGACAATGAATAAGGAAGACAGAAGAAAAAGTGATGCATTTCGATTATGATGTTGAAGGAGAATACTGAAAGTACCAAGGAATGCCAAAAGAACAAACAAATCTGGTTTTGGAGAAATACAGCTAGAATGGGAGACTTCAGAATGGGAGACTTCATCTCTCATACTTCAGACATGTTATCAGGAGGAACCAGTCCCTGAAGGAGGACATTACGCTTGGTAAAATGGAGGGCGAGTGAAAAATAGGAAGATACCCAATGAGATGAAATGATACAGTGGCAGCAGAAATGGGTTGAAATGGTACTTAACAACAACACCATGAGTCAGAGCAGAGTCAACAGTACTTAGCAACATCGAAATGAAGGAGGAAAACTGAATCATTCCTGTTTTCTATTTTTCTTTATAAAGATCCGTATCTTTATAAAGTGTTAACGGATGTTGATAACAGCAAGCATTTGTTTTTTCTTGCCTTTGAATTAAAAAAGTTTTGCGGGGGGAAGTAACACACACTCAACTGAAATTACAAAATGTCAGATAGTACAAAACTAAAAAGAAATTTTCTCTTTAGGGCCACAACTAGAGGCAAGTGAGATGAGGTGCGTAGACTATGCCATTTAAGCAAGTGCTCACTCTCAGGTTCTTACAGAGGCAAGCACTCACTAACAGAGAGGGTTGTGTAGGCACCTAACCCTACCCCATTCTACCCTGCCCTGTCCCTTAATAACTGGTGCCATCCCGTAAGACACTAAGCAAAGCAATTTAGTGGGTTCCATCCTGACCATTTGTCTTCCCACACGCATATGGGAATATATGGAATATATGGTTTGTGTTTTATTTCAAACAAATAGCATCAATTATTAATTCACTCAGCAAATAATTAATTAGTTACTGAGTATCAGGTACTGTGTTGGGTACTGCGGATTCAGCAGATACTAGCCATGCTCTCTGACCTCACGAATGTTGCTCTTTACTATGTCCTGTATCTTTTTTCAATAAATTTACTCACCAAAGATTTACTGTCTATCTGCTATTTCCATGCACTGTTCTGGGTATTTGAGATAAAATATTGTACAATGTTCTCTGACTTCATGGAAACAGTAAATAAAATGCATAGTAAGTCAACTGAATATGCTGTGTTGGAAGATTGTTGTTGTTATGTGCTGTGGAGTCGGTTCCGACTCATAGCGACCCTGTACAGGGTTTCCAAGGCTGTAAATCTTTATGGGAGCAGAAAGCAACATCTTTCTCCCATAGAACAGCTGATAGTTTCGAACTGCTGACCTTGCAGTTCACAGCCCGAGCAGGAGAAAGAGATGGAGAGTGTAGCCGTGGGGCTGTTCATGATGTGAAGTTGCGTTCAGGTTGGACTCACTGAGAAGGTGTCATTTGAGCAGACATTTTATTTTGTTTTTAATGCCAATGCATCTTAGAATTCCTTGGTTTAATAAACTCATTTTAATGAACATTTTTACTTTGAAAAAATTCAAGTTTATACAAGAGTTGTAAATATAGTAGCACAGAAGTTGCCAGGATGCCACATCACATTTAGAATTCATGTTTTCTACAAATATTTACAAAGTGTTAACTGTTTTAGGTACTTGGCTTGCATCAGTAAACAAAGCTGACAAATCCCCACCATCGCCAAGTTAACTTTGTAGCCAGCAGAGACAATAAACAATTAAAATAACAAATAGCTAATGTATACAATATACTACAGAAAAGGCACTCTAAGGTCTTGGGGGTGGGGACAAAGTGCAGGGAGAACAGGATAAAGTAGATAATCAATGTTGGTGAAATTGGCTGTAATTTTAAATATAGCAAGCAGGGTGTGCCTCCTTCAAAGGATGACATTTGAGCAAAGATTGAAGGAGGAAGAGACACATTTATTCTTTTAACAAATTGCTAAATTTGGTGAACTACTTTTTTTTTTCAGAAGGGTTGCTTTTATGTTCACAAACGATAAGACTGACAACCTTATCCGATTTGGGTTAGGAGTCCTGGTGTGGTGTTGTGGGTTAATGCGCCAGACT